GAAGTGGATTCATCAGCATTTTATTACTGAATTAGGATTAGGGCCTCAAATCCCAATTAAAATTAGTCCTTGAATGAGAATTCAGTGCAAAAACACTGTGCAGGGAAGGTTAATCATCTGTTTAACCTAAACGTCAGGGAAACGACAGGTGATTTTGGGTTTGACGTTGAATTGAGAGGTTGTGGTTGGGGAAATTGAGGCCTGGGATGAGGGAATTGTTCTGGAATTTTTTGGGGTGGATAATTCAGGCAGGAGGGGGATTTTTGGAGGTTTTTAGGACTTACCAGCAAGACAAGGAACGGTTAACGCCATTTTCCTTACTCAGCTCTCACCATGCGGTGCAGCATCACACGAAGTTCATCGCAAGCAGCTGGTCATCATCACATGTTCAGGAATTTTGTGATTGTGTGAGCTTTTTCAGAGGTGGGGGGATGTTCTAGCTACATTTGAATTGTACCATTACCTCTGACCTCGGGTTTGCTCTGAGGATTCCAGAATTAAAATTCTCCATGGGGTTATTTGGAAAAATTGCAATTATTCATCTTCTAAAACGAGTAATTGTTGAAATTTATTCTTTATAATTGAAAAAAATATAACATTCGTTTTTTCTTTTGCAAAGACATAATCATAAACATGAATTAATTAGTATTTTGAACATTGTTGGATGAATTACATATGTATCTCTGAAACATGAAAATTCTTGCCACCATTTTTCACGAATATCTCTAAAACCACGAGTGATAGCAAAATTTTCATAATAATCATTTTTGTAGATCTTATTCATCGCTAGAAAAAATGTTATTACAACAAATTCGATATCTCCTTCAGATTCCGAGATTTTCATGGAAAATCAATTGATAGTGAAAATCGACAATCAGTGTTCAATCAATTTCACAACTATTTATTACGATTTATAAACTTGTTTCCCTATTCATGTCATCTATTCTATTTGAAAATTCATATTCTCTTTTTTAAATGAATTTTCCGTCATTCATTTTATTTTCAAACAAGTAATTAGTCGCTGGCGCCATCTTTGATTCACATGGTCAACACTTTCAGGTGCCTCCGCCAATCGCCACGACCGCTCATTCCTTTGTTCTCGTTCACTCGCGCCGGTTATCTCTCCAACAAATCGCCTACAAAAAATCCAGAAACAGCCGGCAAATCCTCAAAAATCCCGTAAAACGTAAGAATCTCCTTCAATATTCTTGAAAAACGAATAATCTCTCGCAAAAACAACGCAATTCCCCCAAAAAACGTAAAGAAATTTCCTTTTACCAAATGTTTCCTCCCCTCCGCGTCCCTCCCCCACTTTGATCGCCAAACAATAGCTAAACGCCTCTGATTATTGAAAATAATCAATTAAACATAATTAAACATAATAAAGGACCCGGATTGCCTCAGCACAATAGCCAATATTAATATTCTCTTTTTA